ACAACAAAGGAATAGTCGAACATTTTTTTCTTCTTCTTTGTTGTTGTTTTTTTTGGTGTGGTACTGAAAACGGAAAAGTTGTATGTGAATAGTGAATGGTCTGAATAAAGACTGGACTGAAGGTGTCATGTGTCATGGCTGATGTATGCAGTCGAGTCTGACCCACCAGTCGGGGTGGAGACTGCATGGAAGTCTGGGTTAGTACGTCGCACCTTAGAATTACAAAGTTCTATCAGTATCTGCTCAGTGGGTGGTTGGCGGGTGCTCTGGTGTGGTTTGCTTCTTCTTTCCTATCAAACATTTATCGTCCTTATCTCCCCTTCTTCTTTTTTATATTCGTTTCTCTCTTGTAACACCTCTAATCTTCTGTAAAACCTCTACTAAGAAAAAATCCAGAATTACAAAGTTCTATTTGATCAGATCCCAGTTTTGAGAAATCCTAGTTGTGAACAATTTGACGTTAACAATTTTGAATCTCAGAACGTGTCAAGAGTTTTTAAAAAAATGAAATACTTAGACTATCTTGATAACGACTACGAATAATCTTTCGATTTTGATAGAGTAGAACAGAAAGAAATTGCCGCTCCCGCCCTCCTCCATTTTTCCGAAAAAAAGTAGTATGTATAACATAAAATAGCCTTGAGCTGCACGTGATTTAGCAACCTCATCAAGAAGAAGTATACCAAACTTTCGTCATAGCAAAATAGCTGCTTAAGGAATGGTGATTTCATTATACATCTCCACGTAATTTTATCTCTTACTCCTTATGACAACGGGAAAACCCTTTGAATGGTTTCGTGTTGACGTCATAGCGTCATAATCATAATGATAACAATCTGTTTGCAGTAGATTTTTTTGCCTTAGGGTTAGCGATATGTGCATGGCAATTTGCTGTTATGTCGAGAGAACATGTCCATGATTATACACTGGTTTAGAGTTATACGGTGGTAAGAATGCTTTGAGCTTGTGAAATAAGGAGGAGGAGGAGGAGGAGGAGGAGGAGGAGGATAAACATAGTTTTTTTATTCAGCAGGGTGTGTGTGTGGGGGGTGGGTGGGGGTTACATATTGTGACTAGAGAGAG